GATATACCTCACCATCGCCTACTTCAAGATCTACAACGAAGACGAGGTAGTCCTCGTAGGTGGTGAAGAGGGTGAGGAAGGGGAAGAAGGGGAAGGCGCCGATACACCCTTGCCACCCACTAGCGGTGCATTGACGCCCGGAAGTGAAGCCTTCAGGGAAGATTTGGCGAGCTTCGGGCATCAACTTAAGGTCGCAATGGCTGACGACATCAGCAGGGAAAGCCTTGACGGGATTCCTAACTCGCTCTCCGTTCAGGGGTAAGCACCATTTCGAAAATCTCGTGGTATCGATTGAATTTGGAAACGGGTCAATATAAAGAGGTTGTTCAGATTCGCTATCTTACTTGTTGACTGTCGTTCACTTTTAAGCATCTTCGTAGATCTTTTGTAAGGCTTCCAAAAGACTTTTTAATTGTAAGCATCAATAGGTATAATCGCTTTAACCATAATCGCCGACGACTTAAAAGTTATTTTCTAAAAATAATAATCCTGTCTGAGCTCCAGAAAAGCTACCGCGGCGCGATCTACCTTTCGCATAAATGTATATACAAAATATATGTGGTTGAAGTTTGGAGTGTTCGTAGAGCGAAAATTAAATGTAGGCCCACACTGAAATAACAGAATATACACTGAAATAACAAAATATTATATCAAATGAGTAACATAAAAAAATGAATAAAGTGCCTTTCAGGGGCGCAATTTAAAATAAAACAGAACTCTCTTCTCGTTCGTTTACCTATCTCTGCTTCGTAATCACAGATAGGTATTTATGTTGTCGTAAGAGCTAACTCAGTCGTCTAAGTGCTTAACTCAGATGCAATAATTTTACGCCAGGCATAAAGTCGTCTGAATGAACGATTCGCTATAGAGATAGTGCGCTGAATGTATAAATGTCGTTCCGCAGTCCGCACATTCAAGTATAACGTTGCCATACTATATGCAATCAATTTCCTTCGTGGTTTGCGGTGAACCGAAGGTGTTCGATAATCCACCTGAACAAGCATCCTTCTGTTCTACATAAAATTGATCGTTGCGAGCAATCGAATTGGCGTGACAAGTTGTTCACAAACAACTCGAAATATTCATATATCTATTCAGCTGTCAATTACGGAACGTCGTTTAACAATAACAGGTCGGTAAATTTTACGAATATTGACGTTCTGAGGACATTGTACGTAAAGACGTTCGCTGGAACGTACACCTCTTAAGTGACAAATAAGCAATCAATACATTATGACCATTTTATTTGCCACATTGTTTCATGCTATAATAAATACGGCTCGAAAAAATGTCAAATATATTGTACGTAGAAATATGTCAGATTACGTACATTTTTAATAACAATTTGGTCTTGTGATAGTCGTAATCAAAGTTTGTTATTTCGTCACGACTTTAATTGGGATTAAGGATGTATTACATACATATATTTCATTTTTAGTAAAATGAAAAATTATGAAAAAAATTATCGATTTTTCTATATTATATTTATAAAAGTAATATAAAAAGTTTAGCGACGATTTAGAATCTAGATAAAAAATAATTTCAATAAGAAAAGTAGAAAAATATGTTTTTAAAAATAATTAATTAATCGCCACATTACGAGAACAATATTTAAGTATATTTATTTAAGTATAGCAAGCCCAACCCAAATCGATATTGCTTATAACTTCTATAAAAATGAATATATTAAAAATAATTTTTTTTAATCTCAAAAATGTCAGACATTATATTATAAAAAACATAACAATATTAAGCAGATGCATATGTTTTTATTAATAAAAAAGGTATAAACAATAATAAACAAAATATTAAAAAAACATTAAAAAAGAACAGCCAAGTAAGCTAATATCGAAGAGATATTTAAGATAAAACGAGAAAAATTTTATTTAAACTATAAAATTGTATTTTATTAGATATAAATATTGACCTTGTTGAACTGTTTCATATGCATATAACTAGAGTTGGCAAAGTTATTTTATGAAAGTAACTCGTTATCGTTACTGATTTACAAAAGGTATTTCGTTATCATTATTCAAAAACTAACGAGTCGTTACTAATTTCGTTACTTTTTTCTTGACATTAATAGAATATTATTTTATATATAAATTTTTCTAGTAAATATAAATAAAAAATGTCATAAAAAGTTTTTTATTACAGAAATAAGGCTTAACCTGATAAATGTTAATTAAAAAATTTAGATTTGTGTCACTATTTTATAATACATTTCCATACATTTCTATTAGAGCAGAGATTAAAAAAAATTGTTTAATACTGTTTCTTACTGAATAACTTTCGTTAGATAATTACTTTTGTTGAAAAAAAAGTAATTGTAGCAATACAAGTAGGTAACACCTTACCAATTCTGTATAACATTCATTTTTCTACGGAAAAGTAGAATAAATTTCCAATTCCATTCACTTTTTGCAGAAACTATACATCTAGTATACTCTTAATCATAATAATAATTAATCGCGGATTTTAAAAGGGTTGGACAATCCATTAAAGAAATACATCAATACATACTATATCATCCAATAATATTAGATAATTGAAGAGAATTCCGAACTATTATATAATAAGATTTATATAATAATAATCAATTTTCGACAGAATACAACATGTTCGGATGTGCGTGATCGAATGTCGCTTTCGTGTAGAACAGATATAGGATACATTTGCGGAAGATAAATTGATCCACGAATTTAGCAGAATATTCTTGAATCGCTATAGAAATAGTAGGCGACACGGTCCATATGGAAATCTCGTTCTTCTCGACTTCTTGCAGTAACTTTTTTTTTAAGTCGCAATTAACTCCGTACGAATAATTTATTCTTGAAACGCTATCGACGTAATAAAATGATGGCGCAGAAAGTACTCTCGACCAGACTACCGGCGCATCTATCTATAAATAGCGACTCGGGATGCAAGACGATATAGGTCGAACGACTGCGCGATAGACTGCGAGTCGCCGCTTCTCCCACCATCATTCAGCAGCATATATACAAAGTAATCTATCTGAAGTATCCCCGATTCATCCGTGCCATTCAAAAGGCTGCGACAGAAGCAACGATCAAACACCCCTATTTCCTCATGTCTCATCTTTCGAGCGGAAACTTTCGCATGTACGCTGTACAATGATAGCGTAACGAATTTGTTTTCGTAACCCTTCTACACAAAAGTGTACTTTTCTAACATTTCTCAAGAAAAAGTCATAAACGATCTCTACAACATGTATATGATGTGGAGATAATAAATCGGTAAACATTTTTAAGTAAACACTGGACGAGCGTGTTCTACATTCATAAATAATCCGTTTCACTCTTGAAAAGGACTACACGCGCGACAATGTTTGACCCGTTACATTTGTCAAGAAGATGTAGTAGTAGTCTTCACGTAAAGCTACTTATACTACTTCGCCCTAATTTATTCTGTCATCTGTCAACGTGAGAATGCGAGAGAGAATTATAATTATTCCGTGAATTGGAAAGTAGTGGCACGGATGAAGAAAATAACATTTGAAACTCCTACTTTCCGAAAAAACTTTTTCAACAAAAACTTTCTATGAAGATATATTATAGATATTAAATTCGCAAATCTTTTCTACTCTCAGTATATCAAAATCATTTCGTATATTATTTACAATCGAGATTAAATGATCTTTTCATCCCTTCCGAAAAGTTTACGATAATTACAAAAATCTCTCTTTAGGTTCCCAGATAGTACAGAAAGTTCAAAAGGAATTCAGTGATGTGTCATCAATTCTGAGCTCATTTTCAGATGCAACAAAAATTCTTTTCAGAAAAAGAATTGTTTTTGCATCTGAAAATGAATTCAGAATTGATGACATATCACTGAATTCTTTTTGAACTCTTTGTGCTATCTGGGTTAGCATATATTATTATAAAAAATTAAATTATGCATTATTATAAAAAATTAAATTTAACATTATTAGAGAAAAGATATTAAACCTTGTGAATAAACAGAGAGATTTTTTAAATATCTAAACTGATTTCAACCCCTACATACAGCACAAAGTTGCACAAAAGATGCAGCAAACACTGCTGTAACATTATATGTCGCAGCGATATTGTTGCAAATTCTGTGCTGTATGGGAATGATTGAGATTTCATTGCTTCGAAATGTGTTACACAACCAATGTGTTACACCCAACATAGCAAATTACTTTGTTTAATTCACCTACTTTTCCTGAGTATATGCTTGACGCATGCACGTTTCGTGCGGCACGAGTTCGCACGTGTGCTTATGATCAATCGCGAGTAAACCCCCCACGCAAATGTGGACCTGCGGTTTTGACGTTGATGCGGAATGCGTGAGAGAGGCCACGTTAAGACCAAGCAAGGACGCGAGCATCGATTCTGACCCAACAACCATCCAAGCCCCGCCTAACTCACCCTTGCTTTCTCAGCCCTTCTATAGCTTCCAGCGACAACCCCCGCGAGCTCGCCTACCTTGTCGAATTCTCGCGGTATCTATTCGCGAATACTGCACGAGCTTGCAGAAACCGAGGTATTAGGGTCGTTCACGCTCTATGCACATAGATGAGCAAGTTTGGAATATCAACGAGACTTCGAATTTACGAATTGAACTAATATGCGAAACGTTGAGGGTGAACTGAATCAATTCACACGATGAAGTTAAAACGAATTCCTAATTTTGAAAAGACAACAATATACTATAATGTTGCAATTATAAATGCACAATTAAAAATATATTATTGTGAATTATTTTTTTAATATAATTGAGGAAAGCATATTTTATTAAAAGTTTTAAGTTGATTACGTTCATGTTACATATAATCTTCACTGTAATATAACTAAATTAACTAATAATTAAATTACATTTTTAAATTTAACTTGTAAATAAGTCGATAAATAAGCTCTGTAACTTCAAGCAGCGAATCGAAATAAATAAATCTGAGATGATACTCCTTATTAAGAAAATATTAAAAGAAAAGTTTCACGTTTGTGTTTACCTTTCAGAAACTTGAACAAGACGATGACGACGAGTATCTCAACTCCCCCTGGGCCGACGGCAGCAGTTTGAAGCGACATTTTCAAGGTCTGAATAATATCTCGTGGAGACCACATTAGGCGATAATTCATCGCCGTCCGTAAAGCAAGGCGTTGGCCGAAAAAGCTTTCTTGATCGAAGAAGGATGAGGAAGAGGAACCAAGTTATCTTTCTGTCTCAGGATCGACTAAAATCCACCCTCGCGATTCACGGAGTGAACCAGAGGCAAACTCGGTACTTTCTCAAGACACGCGAATCGTACGCGAATATATGGCGATTCAAGGAAACCTTTAACGAATCTGCCATTTCTCTATTGTAAAAATCTGTTTCCATTACAAGCGCCGACTATACTTGCAGGTGTCACGATATTTCGCGACGTACTTTTTCCTACTCGATAATAGCTCAATAATTGCGAAGTCGTGCGTATAACTCTGTCGCAACTCGTGCCAGAGAGGCAGCAGTCCCTCTCAAACGCGGTATCTTCAGTGCGATGCTCGTATGCGCCAGAAAAGTTCTTCGTTTCTTGCAAATGTTTAACATTGGCGGCAGTCGTTATACCGCGCGCCAAAATTGATTTACCTCGCACGATGCCTTCTTCGTAGCTTGTCTAAGTACGATTCGTGATTCGAAATCAATTCGCGAATCCCGTGCCTGTATATCGCATCCTGTAAACACGAAGAATCTGTCCTTACTGTCGTATACGTAGCGTTCGGGGTACACCGTATATTTTTAAACGATTTTCCACGATGTATCCGCGATGGTAGATGATCGTTCTGCGTAAAGAGGAAATAAATCGGTCGCTTTGAAAATCGGCGCAAGTCTTAAAAAAAATTAAAGTCTGCACTATTCTCGAATTATAGAAATGTGTAATGATTAAGTTACAAATTTATATGTAATAAGCGATAAATTTTTAACGGCGGATTATAAATCTGCCTGTGCCAGCCGTAAATTTTTGGAATGTACGTCTTCATCCATGCGGCACCAAGTTGCGGACTTTAAAGAAGCTTATTTTTACATAAGCGATAAATGTCTTCTGTCTCTATCGCATATATGCCCATTAACTGATTGAATCTTAAAGTTACTGGACTCGTGCCATTCTCAAAATGACTGATGCAAATTTGCAACGAAGCGCATACCGAGTACACGCTCCCTCTGGTTCACTCAACGATACCGAAAGGACGTCCATCTGGAGAACGCAGGGGAGGGAAAGACGCGTAGCGAGGTTCTACTCGCGGCATCACGCGCTATCTGTATATTAAAGTCACGAGTTTATAGCTATGAACTTAAAGAACTTAATCAGTAAAACTATGATCTAAATACCGTTAAACGTTACGAGTATTATCAGGTAATTCGCTTGCTGTGTGATCATGATGCGTCCACTCGCGTGCATCGTTAGACATTTTTATCAAACACACCGACATCACGTCCGTTCCACTTTTATCTGGCGACATGCTTTTGCAAATAAAAAGTGTCCATCCCCCGCACCCCGTTGCGGCCTCGTCCATGTACTATGATCTCCACACGCACAAATTCTAACGGTTTTCAGGTACCTGACCGACACGTACGAAGAAACGTAGGTACCTTCGCGAGTTTTACGACTGCTACATATGCGCATTTAAATCGATACGAATGCACAAGGCGAAGAAACGTTTGGTATATATCGGAGAAAGGCTTCTCTCGAGAGAAAACCCGAGATATGGCCTGTTGTTTTTAGGTGCGCTTTCTGCATTCAAACGAGGCAAATTATGCGCTATTCCTTCAGGAAGAAATCAAGAAAACAGGTGTTAAGAACATAATTAAAAAGAGCAGACCCATTGTCACTAAATTGTTTATTTTTCAACAGTATGTACCGTTTGCTTATTTTAATGTTATATTTGACAAAATTGAGCTGCTCTGCACACAAGTTTTAACGGGCATCCCTCAAAGTGTGAAACGTACTTGGAGCGCAATGGTTGAAAATAAATTGTAATTTCGATAAAAATATCAGTCGTAATAAGGTTCGTGCTACTTCTCAGGCTTAAAAAGAACGGCTTGTCTTATTATCGTCTCAATGTCGACCGTGAACATAATTAGCTATACGCTATATTATGATTTTAGCGTTAACATCGCCTGGGATATCGACCAAACGTTTGCCGCATGGAAACTCTAATCTTGGGAGTATCCAAGTAATACTTCGAAATGCCCGTGAGCATCTAGTTATAGCATTTGTATCGAAAAACTTGAAATACTTTATTGAAAATATATAAATTATTCGATTATTTACAACCGGAAACCTCCATCTTTGAAAATATTGGTGTTCCACGCGGCAATAAACTGGGCGAGATGCGAAAAAAAGACCATATGTAATTATCACTCGACATCTCGGTTATGTCTCTGGAATTCGTACTATTTCTGCAATCATACACACATCGAGCAATACCTATACACATCACCGCGAAAGACACAGTCTACACACATCGGTAATCTATGGCGAAAAAAAGATAATTGAATTGTTTTTATGAATTAAGAACAAGTTGTCTGTGATCTACAATAATTAAAAGAATATTTAATAAGTATTAACAGATAAAAAATATAATTGAAATAATATCGATAATGTTAAACGATGATGGAAAGAAATAACCGAAGGACGATCGAATTTTATTGGTACAAGTTGAGCGCAGGTTTCTCGTGGCATTGGTTGAGCAATACGATAGTAAGAGGAATACAATATATCGCATAAAAAATTAAGATCACCGCAAAGGAATTCTATAGAAGAAAAAGAGGTATATATTATATAAATTACAACAAATAGAGACTTATACGATAGAGCACGCAACGTGTGAACATTTAAATCGCTACTGTTAATCTGTACTAACTTGCGATATAAAAAAAAACAAAAAAGGTGCGTGCTGCGTTCGTATTGTACCAATAAAAAAAAAATATATATATATAAAATATATTATATGGCCCATGACCGTCGCGGCTAAAAGTATATAGGATTAGATAGATTTATAGAAGCGCAAAACACCAAAAATCGTTCCTTCCACCCGCTCCGGCCGTGTATTCGATTTTAAATATATCACATCTCATGTGTGAAATCAAAGCTCTGTGAATTTATAAAAAGCGCACCTCAGAACGCAATTAGCATTGTCATCTTATTGAATGAAGGAAAGGAACTATATACACACCCGTATTATCACCGAATAAGTTATTCAACAAGTGTTGCGAAAGATATTCGAGATAATTTTTCTACAGTTCTGGCACATATGAAAGGAACGTGCAACATCATCGTCGTCTTTATATTTATGTACATTTTAATTATTGTAAATTTTTCAATATTATTATCGAACTATGATCGATTTCGTGTGAAAGTGTATATGGCTTTTTCTGCGGTTAACAATAAAATGTTTTGTCAAAGCTTTTTTCACGAGATATGTATAGATTATATTTTTCTAAATATCTTAAATGTCAATACCCATTTATCTTGATATTCCTCACTTACTAGTTCCAATTCATATCCGCTAAATAACAATGCTTTATAATATATTATAAGTAAAAAAATGTCTAAAATAAATCACATTAAACACATTTTTAATAAAAAAATATATTTATTCAAATATAAAAAATCAATATAGATATTTAAATAATTAAGTTCCAACTGCTGGACCATATTGTATAGAATGCTGTAACAAATAGAAATTGATTATTTTCGTAAATGAATATTCATGTAAAAATTAACAAGTTTTACAAATCAGTATATGAACGAGTGATTTCTCATCTTTCATTCAGGACTCTAGCCAGTTATTCATCAGTTTATTTTTAGCATAAAATTATAAAAAATGTGTCCCATATTTATTTATTCTTCTCACAAATATAATATGTTAAAAAAAATTCTTTTTATCAGAATGTTAATCACATTATTAATAAGATAAAGCAACTAGTGACTTTTTGTTGTAATATTTTGATTTTTTGCAAGAATGGAAAGTTTAATATAGAGTAATTAATAAGTTTAATAAGCAATTTACCTTTATATTAAATAAAGCTAAAGTAGCCTTCAATTACTTGTTGCCGGAAAGTACTCTTGAGAGGGAGTGCGCCTTTTAATCCTCTATGTACACAAAATATTTTTATTAAAAACAAGTACAATTAATTAATTAATTAATCAAAATATAATTCAAGACTTGCTTCAGTCAAAAATCAAGTACACGTTGGAGTTATTGAGTGGATCCATATATTCGTTCGGTTTTTGAAGGCTAAAATGAAACAAGTTTTTTTCATACAAAGGATGAATTTTAATCAATGATTGTAACAACTCGTAGTACAACACACCTTTCCAATCCCACCAGATACAGAGCAAAACCTTCTTGGCGTAGATATTGGGCTTTGGCGTCGATGTCGAAGGTTGACCAGGATCAACCCATGATTTTCTACGTTTAGGGTTATCATAAAGAATCCACTTTTCATCGCCTGTAATGATTTTGTGCAGAAAATCTTTTTTCCGGAACTTTGAAAGCAAAGTGAGTGCAGTGTCGATTTTTGTTGTCTTCGGACAATTCATGCGGAACCCATCTGCCTTCCTTCTGAACCTTTCCTATCATACGTACCATCGTACGGAAATGGCTTGCTGCGTAACGCTAAGCTGTTCTGC